TGTTTTGAAACAAGCTAATTTATCTAACAAAGAGAAGTTATAAAAAAAAACACATCAGAATTAGAAAAAAATCATAAATAAAAAATTTAAATCTAAATGCAATGAATAAATTAGTTTAGACAGAAAGTAATATAAAAAGAGATTCATCACTTATATAATAAGAGTCTCCTAAGATGAAAAACAAATTAAGAAAACAGAGAAAATCATAAAATATAGAATTCAAGGAAACTTTCCTGAAATAGTACTTGAATGGATATATCATATTTATGCAGAAAAGCCAACAGGTAGGTATAGTAAATAAATTATTGGACTTTAAAAAATGTAAACTCTTTGAAAACTAGAAATAAATCCAACACTCATTGAAAAAGGAAACCAGTTTATAGTTATACTTTTTGACCTTAATGCTTTGTAGAAGAAAATGGGGTTATATATTTAAGTCAAAGAAAAAAATATGAGTCAAGGCTCATAAAAAATATCTAGCCAAACAGATTCAATTATAAGGGCCTCCAATAAACTCTAAATAATGCATACGAACATAGCAAATGCTGATCCCATGAGCCTGCTCTGAGGAGTCTACTAGAGCACAAGATACAAATAACTATATGACTGATTATATTATCAATATTAACAGTGATAAAACAATGTTACTTCAAATTAGATGTGCAGGAAAGGTAGAGGTGAAGCAGAAGCATTGCTCACAGTAGAAAATATACAAAAATAGCCAAGAGAAAATAAAAAAGGATTCTAAGCATATTATATAAAGTAAAAGTAAGAATAAGAACAAGAGTCAGCAAACTACAGTCCCTTGGTCAAGTGTGGCCCACACTTGTTTTAGTAAGTAAAATTTTATTGGAGCACAGTCACATCCATTTGTTTACCTACTGGAGTCCAGCCCATCCTTTTGTTTGCATATTGTCTCTTTCTCCTTTTAAACTACAACCTCAGAATCTAGATTGCTCATAAAACCAAATCTATATCTCAGTAGTCACATTTGGAGTATGAAAGTGAATCAACTTATTATTTTGAAGTCCAGTGACTTAAAAGAAAGAAACATACTTTTTTTCCCTACCTTTACTATGGGAGCAGGACCTCAGGGTTACCAATTATTTGATATGGAGAAGTTCTTTTTTATAGAAATATTTTAGTAAATAAACACAGTATAAATGAAAGGAATTAATAGGTAGGAAATGACTATTGGTGGATGCTATTATCACACAAGGAGAGTCAAAGGGATTTGATGTATCCCCTTAAAGAAACAGTGCATACACTAGTCCCCCCTTATCTCCGGTTTCACTTTTCATGGTTTCAGTTATCATCATCTGAAAATATGACATGGAAAATTTCAGACATAAGTAATTCAATTAACAATTCATAAGTTTCAAATTGCACGCTGTTCTGAGTAGCATGATAAAATCTCTCTTCTATCCCACTTAGGACGTGAATCAAACCTTCGTGCAGTGTTTCCACGCTGATTCACTCTCTACACATTAGTCACTTAGTAGCCCTGTGGATTTTCAGATCAACCTCCCTAGTATTGTGGTGCTTGTGTTCAAGTTACCCTTTTTTAATTAATGATGGCCCCAGAGTGCAAGAGTAGTGATGCTAGCAAATTAGATATGCCAAAGAGAAGCCATAAAGTGCTTTCTTTAAGTAAAAAAGTAAAAGTTCCCCACTTCATAATGAAAGAAAACAAACTGTATGCTAAAATCTACAGTAAGAACAAATCTCCTATCCATGAAATTGTGAAGAAGGAAAAAGAAATTTGTCTTAGTTTTGCTATGTTGCACCTCAAACTGAAAGTTATGGCCACAGTGCAGGACAAATGTTTAGTTAAGATGGGAAAGACATTACATTTGTGGGCAGAAGACATGAACCGAAAATGTGTTCCAATTGACAGCAATGTGTTGCACCAGAAAACACTGAGGCTATATGAAGGCATCAGCAAGAGATCTCCTGAAATGAGTAACCACAGTCACATAACTTTTATTATATTGTTATAATTGTTCTTTTTATTATTAGTTTTTCTTATTACTCTCTTACTGTGCTAATTTATGAATTAAACTTTATCAGAGATATAGATGTATAGGAAAGGAACATAGTACATTCAGGGTTAAGTATTATCTGAGGTTTCAGGCAACTACAAAGGGTCTTGGAAAGTAGGATAAGGAGGACTTATGATTTATTTCTAAAAACAACAACAACAAAAACCTGGATCTAATCAGGACTCCAGATCTAACTACTGATTTATAGGAAATAGAGAAGACAGAGAAAAAAATGAAATGAGCCACTGAACATATAGTCATCAATATCTAGACTTCAGAAATCTGGTTTTTTGAACAAGGTGAATAAAAAGAAGTGACAGTGCTGAAGCCTATAGATTAAAAAAGACTTAAAAGACCTACTGACCAATTGCAATATATGGACCTTATTTAAATTCTGATGTGAATAAAATTTTAATATAAATATGACAGGATACTTGTTGATATTAAAGAATTTTTGTTAATTTGGGACAAGTAACAAATGTATTGTAATTAAGTTTTAAGAGTCCTTATATTTAAGAGATACATATTAAAATATTTACAGATGAAATATTGTCTCTGCTCTGCTTCAAAATAATGGAATGAGGGAGCAATTGGAAGTATAGAAAAAATGATTTCCCAGGACTCAATAATGTTGAAGCTGGATAGTTAATATGTGGAAGTTCAGTGTAACAGTATCTGTAATTTTATTTATATTTAAGATGTTCTGTATTAAAATATTAAAGTGTTTTAAATTCTGCTGATGTCAAATTTTGGAAATGAGTTCTAAATTTTTCTATTTTAATTATTAATTTTTATTTAAATATTAAATTCACTTACAGCATAGTTGTAAAACTCATTTTGCAAATGACTTCATTAATAACTTCTTGGTAAGGCATCACAATAATACTTCTTTAATGAATTGAATTTATTCTGTTTATTATCTTTATTCATACGATATGTGGTAGAGCTAAATACCATAGGGCAGCTAATTCTGAAGAAAGGATGAACTTTTAAACAATTAATTAATTAACCTCAATTTACATAATGATCTTATTTGCATAGCTAATGGATTAGGAATTGATTATAGGCCATTAACAGTCATTAATAAATAAAACTGTGTTAGAAACACAAATCTGTATTTCACATTGAAGAGGCAAAGGTTAGTCATGAAATGTTAGTAAAATATTCAAGAATCAGGCATTAAACTAATATTTAGGGTTTAGGATTCTTGAATTTCTGAGAGGATAATGCATGTATTTGCTATTCTGTCTCTCCTCTACATACATAATGGGGCACATAAAGGCCTACATGTGTGTATTAGGTAAACTGTTATTATCCTTAGATTTACACTCAAATTACAGTCATGAGAGCTAGTTGTGTTATATTCATATATGAGAACTATATATATTTTGATTCCTAGAAATCAGAGCTATTTTGTAAAAAATACCAAGTTCTACAACCTAATATTTACCAAAATTTTCTTTTTAAATTTAACTACTCATTTGTTTCAAAGGAAGGTGACAAATATAGTTTTTGATGAACTTTTACATTTATTTTTATTTGCAATAAGGGAGTTTACATAATGTAAATTAGATCTACCCTAACCTTTTGATGCCTTAGATTTTATAAAAAATATAAATGCCTGAAGTTTAAAGATTTTAAAAACTCAAAGAACTGGTGTGTTATTTTTAAACAATTTAATTATGCAAGTGATGTTTAATCATGCAAGACAACTTAATCCCTTTAATTCTAAAGGCGCACTGTGTATAATCTGATTTTTTTCAACAGATTTTATTGTACCTATGCAACCTTCAACGCTAGATCAGCAAGTGAGATTTGAAGTAAAGGAAAAGAGAGATTTATTTTTAATGATTATTAATTGACCTGAGACGGGAAATTTTACAATTCCTCTTCTGCCGTTTACTCCCACCTTACTCTCCTTTCTCTTCCCGTGGCACTCACATGCATGTGTACACTTGCTCTGGCTCTCTTCTTTTTCCTTTTGCCCCTTCTAAAAATGCTGATTGATGTAGTGTTGTGATAGGATGTCCAGGAATGGACCCCAGAGTAAAAGGTAAATGTTTCAGATCCTGTTTCCCACTTCATGCTTTCTCTGAGCCTCTATTCTACTAATGGTTAAAGTAAATTTGGCTTTCTTAGTTCTCCTAGATTCTAAAAAAGTTGGTGTGATTGTTAAAAAAAAAAATGGATTGCTTAAGTGCAAAGGAGTATTACCTCAATGAATGGAAAAAAGATAGCGTTTATCCCATTATTGGTAATATCTCACAGAATCTGTGCTGGGCCACTTCAGAAATTGGCTTTTACTTGCTTTTCAGTGTGGTTAAAGTATATCAAACTGAAATGTTGAAGAAAGATTTTAGAGTTAAAAACTGAGACTGAATCTTCAACTTTTCATTTACTGACAAGTGTCATTTTTAGAAAATCATTTAACCTTTTCTTATCATGTCTTTGTAAAGTGAAGGTAATGATTTTCATTTCCTAGAAATGGGAGTGAATTAAATATAATGCGACATATACATGTTGATAAATGTTAGTCACTAATTTTAACATGTGTTTTCCTCATTTCTAAGAAAAGATATAAGTACCAGAAACTGCACAATTCAGGGAATGTCTAGCAGTCATCCACTCATTAACAATATACTACATCCCAGAGAGTTAGCCCGTACCTCACAGCAGAATGAGAATAAAGTTTATTATCTAACATACTCAAAAAATGAGTGTTCTCTACAAGATTACAAAAAAAGTCTGGAAATAGTGTGTTAATGTCTTGACATTTCAGGAATATGAAATCCTCTCAGCGTTGCCAGCTATCAAAAATTAAAATAAATGGGAAAACATCTCTGAGTGTTCATGATCTTCTTACATTCTTCATTGAGAACTTTTAGACATATGTATTTCTTTAGGCGATGAGCAGAACACCATTGATTTATTGAAAAACCCTTAAATAACGTAACTTACTTTTCGAAGGAACTCGGAGATTGGCGAGGACCACTTCCAGGGAGTCAGCTTGGACTCGAAGCACATAACTTGTCCTTGTTTCATAGTCCAAAGGGGCATTCACATAGATAACACCCGTGATGTTATTAATTCCAAACTTATCTGGAATTAAAATATGATTTCTTGGTCATTTTCTTTATACTACAAGGAAAAATAATTCTCTTTAAAAGGCACTGTGATTTAAAAAACACCTATTTATAATAAGGGTAATGCATAAAAGTAATAAGATGATGGCTTTTGGAAACTATGTTCCAGAAATGATCAACATCAGTGTTATCCTAAGTACATGCCTTGAAATTCCAGTGTTCTTTTTTTTTTTTTTTGAGATTCTCCTTAAAATTAATGTTTCTGTAAGAAATTACATTTGGGAGCAATGCATATTATACTTCTCACCATGGATTCAGATGGCCCTCTACTGTATGAAATACCTTCAGAAATTCTGTTTTAAAGAAACTCATACAATTTTGTTGTATGAGTACCTCTGAGTAGGTGCCCCTTCCCCCAAATAAATATTTAAAGAAAACCTACTATCCTAATTCATTGGGTGATGTCTTTATTACTCAGATTTAGTGTTTTTTCTTGCTGAAAGATGTGAGGTGGTTTATTGTACAACAAAGTATGGTACTTTATAATCTTATTAGATTATTATACTTTTTATGATGTAATGCATCTTATTATCCTGTATATTCTGCTATGAACACTTGAGGAAAAAACAGATAATTTTATATGTTGGTTATTTCAAAAACATGATTTATTATTTTAAATGTTCATTTTTTAAAAATAAATTTGCTCATATATAATTGAGTGAAGAGCGGGGCGCATTGGTATATTTTATAATATCCTACTTCTTGCATTCCTGGTATCTTTTCTTCACTTCAGTTTTCTCCACAGCATTTATTACTACCCAAATGTTATATATTTATCAGTTTAATAATTTTTATTGTCTTTCTCTTCTTATTGGATGGTAAAATTCTGTGAGGGCAAGGATCTATTTTTTTCATTGCTCTAGCCTTCATGGCTGGGAGAATACTTGGTATGTAATAGATGCTCAATGAACATTTGTTAAGTAAATTAACAAATATTTGTTGAATAAATTGATAAATAAATGAATTGATTGCAAAAAATAGTCATTGTGAGTGAAAGAGGGTAATATCTTTGAAGAAGAGAACTGATAGAATCCCAGAAAGAAAGCATCAGAATAGCCTTTCAGTCAGAATCACCATCTTCCAGTAATTCATTCAAATGAGCAACACAAGGGGAAAGAGAAAAAGCACCCACTATATGTTCTCTAGTCCTTTCAGAAAACATGGAATTGTTCCTTTCGGCCACATACATGCGAATCTACAAGAAAGGTGATATTGTAGACATCAAGGGAATGGGCACTGTTCAAAAAGGATGCCCCACAAATGTTATCATGGAAAAACTGGAAGAATTTACAATGTTATCCAGCATGCAGTTGGCATTGATGCAAACAAACAACTTAAAAGCAAGATTCTTGCCAAGAGAATTAATGTACGTATTGAGCATATCAAGCACTCTAAGAATGGAGATTGCTTCCTAAAATGTGTGAAGGAAAATGATCAAAAAAAGAAGGAAGCCAAAGAGAAAGGCACCTATGTTCAGCTGATGTGCCAGCCTGCTCCACCCAGAGAAGCACACTTTGTGACAATGAATGGAAAGGAGCCTGAGCTGCTGGAGCCCATTCCCTATTAATTCATGGCATGATAGGTTTAAAAAAAATAAAATAAAAGATTTCTGAGTAGGTGTCACTTTACTCAAATAAATATTTAAAGAAAACCTACTGTCCTAATTCATTGGGTGATGTCTTTATTATTCAGATTTAATGTTTTTTCTTGATAAAAGATGTGAGGTGGTTTACTATGTATCAAAGTATTGTCCATTGATTAGGAAACTACATCTGTTGAATTACAGTTAAGCTCAGAGAAGTTTGACCATTCATAATTGTACTATAAATAGTTGTATTTTAAGGATTAGGAACTTGCCTTTGAAGCCTGCTTCTTAAGAATAGATTGTTTAAAGTCCTCCGTTCTTTGTGAGTTACGTTTGCTTCCACCTTTCATGGCACATGACTCAGAAAATAATAGTGTTTGCGATCATTTGGACTAGAATATCTTTTTTATTTCAACCAAGGGTAGACATTTATATATAGCAGTTAACATGATGCATGGCATTCTAAATACTTTACATAATTTACTCAAAAATCTTGGAGTAAGTAGTGTTTTATTCATATTACATAAAGGAAGCTGAGGAATGGTTAACTTGCTCAAGGTTACAGGTATGCAAAGATTCAAGTCCAGGCAGTCTGGCTCCATAATCAGGTCTCAATCCCTAGTGTTATATTGCCTCATATCAATGGAAAAATTTTAAAACTGTATAGTTTGAGCACAGTTAGATTCTTCAGTTGCTTCCTGGATATTTTTACTTTGATGAGGCACATATCTTAAATTCAACGTAGTCAAAAAGGAGTTGATCACATCCCATCCTAGCTGCCTTCAGTTTTCTGTTATATATAGTATCTGTTTATTTGAAATAAAAACCTTGTCTTCTTGTATTCTCTTACCACTAAAAAAAGTACCAGTAAAAAACGTATCAGAACAGATTGAGAAATCACAAATTCAGTCAGATGTTGGAAGTCTAAGGAAAAAGGATGTTTAGTAATCTTTAGAGAGGAAGCACAGTAGCACAGTAGAAACAAAGAAAGCAATAAGAAAAGTATGATGTTGAACTCTTGCTTCAGGGGCAGCAATTTCTTATAATGGTTGATTGTTGAAATACTTGAAAAAGGCCTTTATAATTTCTTTGCAAAGTCTTTTAACAGAATTAACATTCATTCATTTATCACATATTTAATAAAATATATATTAACTATTTTTTGACTATCAATATTATGCTAGGCCATTCAGCTTATCAAAAGGGAAAAACTGAGGACAACTAAGCTGTAGATAATAGGTGAAACAAAGAATGCGTGAGAAGGACTTAGCTCTGGATTTATTTCTAGAGGCTCACAAACCATTTTATTCTCAGTGAACCATGATAAGTAGACAAAACTTAAATGATTTACTTACAATTGCTAATTGTGTGTCTAATTTAACTGTTTGACTTTTTTTAATTTAACTGTTTAACTAATTTAACTTTTATAATGGACGTGGCTCTTTGGACATTCATAATTATGATTTAAAGTTTCTTCAGGTTTATCTAAGGTAAACATGGAATATAGGTCTTGGATGGTACAGAACAGTGAAAAGAAATTCCTATAAGGTAATAATTATGACTAAAAGATGAAAATATGATGCATTCATTTTGAAGAAATGTCATTAAAATATCCCTATATGAGGAAGAGAAGGCTTCCAGAATTGAATATTTAGTATTTCCTAGGGGGTAATTATAACTGAATTTTTAGTCAGATTCAGCACATAGTTACTATTTATATTTGTTAGACACATTTTTGTTAGAAATATAGAGTAAACAATAACTCAACCTGAAATTAATTTCAAATCCAAGTTGACTAGTTTATGGTGAAAATACCAACTGAATAAACATCTACTCACCCTCTTCATTTCCTGAAACAATGGAATACACAATACTCTGATTGATGGCTGCAGCAGAAATTACACCAACTGTAGTCTCTCTGGTTGCAAGTTCACTTACTGGAGGAGGCCTGCAGGTTTAGAGAAAATTAGTAATTTTTTATTGTCCATTTTGCCATGATGGAATGCTGAGTTTAATAATAAAATGTGTTACTTTATGTGTGTGCTTATTTGAATAACAGTATTTTCTGAAGGTTTAAAAGATATACTTCATTAAGACTCCAGTCCTAAAAAACTATGTTCAAAATCATGCAAATACTCCTTTAAGAATATCTTGTCACCTGTATTGTTTTTAATTTAAAATGCAACACACTACTCTACTACTTTATTATCTGCCAAATATCATACAAAACTTTTTACTTGTCTCTAAAGCACCTTCTGGACTGAAAACAACAGATGGATGAAATTTGCTACCTCAACTTGTTAAAGTTGCTATTGTGTAGCTGATGTTATCATATTTAAGTACATGGCTTCCAAATGTTTCTTTCTAGTCCTTACTTATGCTTTACCGTAAAGCTCTAACTATACTAAAAGTATTTGAATAGGTGGCATCACAAAATTCATATTTATTTCAAATTCAATTTTTTACTTAATTGTAGTTACATTATGTACCCAATGTCATGCTATTTACTTAATTTCAAAAATATATTTTTAATAACACATTATTTCAATCTCAAAATCTCAATTTCATTATATAATATTGGTCACTAGCTATCATAACTTCATATTCAAAAATGAATGCAAATAATCTTACTTTTATAATTCACAGGTATTTATATTATCCAGCTTCAATAGATTTAGAAGGTTACTAAACACAAAATTTTAACAATGTCCCTGAGCCTTTTTCTAGTCTAGTCAACCTATCTAACTTATATGCTTTCTAAAACTCTTTAGCTACTTTTTCCAAACTGATAAGATTAATCCTATTGTTATTTTTCATATGGTCTTTTTCTTTTAATACTTACTTTTCTAATACTACCCTTCACTTTTATCTTCATTTTCTCAGTTTTCTTAGATTGCACTGGGCAATTATATCATGCCTTCATTGAAACCTTTTACAACAAATACTGAGACACAAATATAGACAGGAAAATTAATTACATACAACCTTTCATAAACATCTTGTCCAAATTGCTATGTTCTTTGGTGCTATAGTCTATATATATGATTGCCTAAGTGTGAAGTGATCTATCTTATTTATAGATGCTCCAGCACCTAATAGTGGTCCATATATTAACTATATGGTCAATAAATATAACTTAATTTACTCTCTTTATCATTTCTGTCTTCTTTTGTTAACAGTATTCAGATATTGCTTAGATAATCATACCTCCTCTATTCTCAGTCTAATTGGTTTGGGTAGGACTGACCCAATCTCTAGGATATATGGATAGACACGTTACCTATCTCTGGCCAAAGAGGACACCTTATCCCCTTTGCTCAGTGTTCATGTGTGATAAATTTCTCATACAAAGCCAATGAAAATCATGCCCAGAATTTTAATGTCAAACTATTGAGGGGCGGAGATATTTATTTGTTTTTTTGGGTTTTGGTTGTTTTTTGATCTAGGATTTTAATGTTTTTACCCTATTAGTAGGTTTTTATTGATAATAATACCAACACAAATGAAATAACTTAAGGTCGAAAATAGATCTCCTACACTTTGACTAATACTTTAAATGCTGCTATATTTCAAGCTAGGTAAACTCATCATGTCATTTATGGAAAAAAATAAATTCTCTTTTACTTTGCCTTTATCTAAGATTTCTATCACTTCCAATCAAAGAGTCCAAAATAATTTATGAAAAACATGTGTAGAAACTTCTTAAGGTATCTGAGATAACACAATTATATTCTATAAGCAATTTATTTAGTCATTGTCATAGTGTCAGCATACCGAACAAAGCATAATTTTGTTAACTTTGAACAAAAAATAATAGTAGTCTACCATGAAAAGGAAGGCACTTATAAAAGTGATACTAAGGTAGGTTGTGATGGACTGCTTTGCTCATAAATAGGTACAATGTATGACATTTTAGATTATAAAGAGACATTAAGACAATATGCTGTTTGTCACATTGCTTAGGGGTTGACCAGGTGATTGTGAAATAAAAACCTGAAAAGGGTTAAAATTAGAGAGCTATGTAAACACAAGTCTTTAAAAAGGCCCTCAATAATCTTCCCCTGCTGGTATTCAAACCCTTGAGTATTCCTCTCCTCTTGCATGAGGGCTATAGAGTGACTTGTTTCTAACCAATAGAAATTGGTACAGTAGATGGAATGTCACCTCCGTGATTATCTAACATATGATTATAGCTTATAACTTCATTTTTTCTAGTAGACTCTATTTCTTTTGCTGGATTTAATGAAGTGAATACATGGAATCGTCCACATGACGAGATATTGAAGGTGATGTCTGACCAATAGTCAGTGAGGAACTGAGGCTCTCAGTCCAGTATCCCACAAGTAACTGAGGCCTGCAGTCCAATATCCTACCCAAAACCACATGAGCTTGAAAGTGTATCCTTCTCTAGTCAGGTCTCAAACGAGCCCCTAGCAGTGGTCAACACCTCATTTCAAACCTGTATTAGACTATGAAACAGAGAACATAGGTGACTAATTTCTAACCTACAGAAACTTCAAGATGATATATCTGTTGTTTTAATTTACTATGTTTGTGTTAATATTATTATGCTGTAATTGATAGCTAATATACATGGCTTCAATAATAAGAGCAATGAATTATTAATTTATGACAGATCAAATTGCATGCAACTTAAGTGCAATACAAAAAAAACATGTTAGCATATTCTGGAATAATTTTCATAAACTAAATTTCTTTTTTGTAGAATTAGACATTGCTTAAATTGTTTACTTGTCTGTCTTGTTATTATGTGAGATAAGAGCTAAATTTTGTGTTTTCCATAGTTTATTTATCTTTATAAAGTACTGCAGCTAATGCACTTTCAGCTTTAACATAGAAAGATGCCATTTTTTATTTCAAACTTTAAAAATAATATTTTGTGTGTATTTTTGTACTATCTGGATACAAATGATTAATATCGGACAAATTAACTGGTATAATTTAAGAAAGAATTTAAATCCAATTCATATCACTAAAAGCATTTAAAATTCTATTTGTTAGTAAATGTTTAAAACAGATTTACTTCTAGACAAAATATTTCCTCATTAACCTTTGTCTTAATTGTTCCAACACACTTCTTCCTACCAGAATCAAAACACACCATAAAAATGCAATTTTCTCCAGGCTAGAATTAAATGAACCTCCATGATAATGAGCATTAAATTACAAAATTTTAATTCTTTTTTATTTATTGCCAGGCAGGACGTATTTTATTTTGTTTTATGCCCTGGAAAGTACCAATTACATGATTGGGGCAAATTACAGATTCCCTTTGGAGTTACATATAATTTAAATACAAAATGAAGCAAAAAGAAGTCAAGATCCATAAAATCAGATACCAGAGAGATTAGAAAGATAACAAAATTGAATAAAATGAACTGAACATAAATTAATAGGGAAAGTGGTGGAAGTAAAGAATTGAACGCTGCATGCTCTATTTAATAAGAGTAAGTACTGTGCAATAATGCAAGTCCGGCATGATTTTAAAGTGGAGAGTAAATTCAAATTTTGTGTGAATTCCATAAACTTTTACATTTGACAAGCAATGGAAGTTTTCTTTTTAAAGCATCGTCTGACTTGGTTTGATCTATGGGCTTGATCTATGAGCTGACTGCCAGTTTATAGGTCTTAGAAAACTATCTGAAAGGTATTTTCCAGGTCTACCATGCTGAGTCTGACAAAATGTGATTTATCATTTCCTCTTTTCTTTCTGTTGAGTACAATCAAAATCTATTGATTAAGTTCAGAAGCCAAAAATTATGGCCAAATAAAGCATTTCTCAAAATCTCAAAAGGCTTTTTAAAAAATCATCTTTCTCTTGCTATTAATTCATATAGTTATAATTCATCAACTTTATAATTAACCCTCTTCTAATTAACTTTTTAATACCTAATTCAAAACAGGTAGCTGTTGAGTGTCCGAAATGCGATAATTTTACTTTTTAAAGCTAGATTTGCTATCAATATAGTTGAGAAAAAACTTTTACAATAAAAGAAGCACTTGAAACAGATAAGGTTCAGTAATAGAACTATACAGCTTTCATGATGAAGCTTAAGAGTCAAGAGGTCAACTGGATTCCCACTATCCAGAATAGGACTCCTAAGATCATGCTAGAGGAAATGGTTATATCTTTAAGAGATATGGACCTAGAACACTGGAGAGAAAGATGGTTTCATATTTTAAAAATGCCTTCCAAAAAGGCCTTCACCAGAAGCTCTTTCTCAAGGCTTATCTAAGTTGGGTTTGATGCCCATGTTCTTACATATATACCTGATGTCAGCACTAGCTCCTATTTTTTTCCCCCCAAGAACAACACTTTGGGCTTTATTGGCCATTTTAAACAAATCCCACAAATTTTGACTGATATTTCAAAGTTATCTAAATTAATACTTAAATGAAGGCTAGCTAAAAATTAAGTTAAAAAACTCTCAGTTTTAATAGATATCTAATTTAAATTTTATTAGTTCACCATCTTACTATTTGCACTGTCCTCACAATCCCTAAATTTCACATGTAGAACAGTTGTATGTTTTTAAAGATTAATGAACTTTGTTTTTTAGAGTGGTTTGAAGTTTAAATAAAAATTGAGCAAAGTATAGAGCTCCATGTATATCAGTTACCTCCAGTTTCCCTTATTATTAATATCTTGCATTAATATGGTCCATTTGGTATAACTGATGAACCAGTATTGATACATTATTAACTGAAGTCCACATTTTACATGAGCTTTGTTATTTGTATTGTATATACTACTATGTTAGAACACACGTAAATGTCATATGTCCACCATTACAGTATCATACTGGGTAGTTTTGATGATGAAAAAACATCTCCTGTTCTTCATCTATTCATCCTTTCCATCTCCTGAATCCACCACCACTGATCTTTTTACTGTTTGTATACTTTTGTCTTTTCCAGAATGTAATA